CCCAAGGCTCCTGAGGTGCAGCTAAAAGCTGCCAAGGCAGAGAAGGCAGAGGGGGTAGAATTTGGCTTCAAGATGCCCAAGATGACCATGCCCAAACTAGGGAGGGCAGGGTCCCCGTCACGAGGCAAGCCAGGTGAGGCAGGGGCTGAGGTCTCAGGGAAGTTGGTGACACTTCCCTGTCTGCAGCCAAAGGTAGACAGTGAGGCTCGTGTGGGCGTCCCCTCTCTTACACTGCCCTCAGTGGAACTAGACCTGCCAAGGGTACTCAGCCTGGAGGGGCAGGTCCCAGTGGCTGAAGTGGGCAAGGTGGAACGGGCAGAAGGCAAGGTGGAGTGGGTAGAGGGCAAGGCGGCAGCAGGGGTCGGGGAAATGGTCTTCCGAATGCCCTCGGTTGAGATCGTCACTCCACAGCTTCCTGCAGTGGAAGTCGAGGAAAGGCGGGTAGAGGTGATGGAGATGAAAGTCAAACCCTCTTCCAAGTTCTCCCTGCCCAAATTTGGACTCTCAGGGCCAAAGGTGGCCAAAGCAGAGGCTGAGGGGACTGGGCGAGCCACCAAGCTGAAGGTGTCCAAGTTTGCCATCTCACTTCCCAAGGCTCGGGTGGGGACAGAGGGTGAAGCCAAAGGGGCAGGGGAGGCAAGCCTGCTGCCTGCACTTGATCTGTCCATCCCGCAGCTCAGCCTAGATGCCCATCTGCCCACAGGCAAGGTGGAGGTGGCAGGGGCCGATGTCAAGCTCAAGGGGCCTAGGTTCGCCCTGCCCAAGTTTGGGGTCAGAGGTCGGGATACTGAGGAGGGAGAACTAGTGACAGGGGTGGCTGAGTCGGAGGGCAAGGGTTGGGGTTGGGATGGGAAAGTCAAGATGCCCAAGCTGAAGATGCCCTCCTTTGGGCTGGCTCGGGGGAAGGAAGTGGAAATCCAGGGTGGGCATGTCAGCCTGGGGGATAAGCCAGAGGTCCTGGGCGGACAGCTTAAGATCCCTGAGGTGGAGCTGGTCACGCTGGGGCCCCAAGAGGAAAAGGGAGTCCAGGGGGCTGTAGCTGTCAGTGGAGTACAGCTCTCAGGACTGCAAGTGTCCACAACCAGGCAGGCAGGCACTGAGGGCCAGGAGGGGGTGCTGAGGATGCCCCTGGGCATCTCCCTGCCCCAGGTGGAGCTGACCAGCTTCGGGGAGTCTGGCCTGGGTGCCACCTCTGGGCAGCAGGCCGAGAGTGCACCCCCTTCAGCAGAGGGCACAGCAGGCTACAGGGTCCAGGTTCCTCAGGTTACCTTGTCTCTGCCTGGAGCCCAGGTGGCCAGTGGTGAGCTATTGGTGGGTGAGGGTGTCTTTAAAATGCCCACTGTGACAGTGCCCCAGCTTGAGCTGGACATGGGGCTGAGCCGAGAGGCACAGTTGGGTGAGGCAGCCACAGGCGAGGGTGGGCTGAGGCTGAAGATGCCCACACTGGGGGCCAGACCTGGTGCCGGGGACAAGGGACCTAGGGACCAGCCCCCAGGAGCTGAACGCACCTTTCACCTCTCACTACCCGATGTGGAGCTCTCACCGCCTGCCGTGGGCAGCCATGCCGAGTACCAGGTAGTAGAGGGCGAGGGGGACGCTGGACACAAGCTCAAGGTGCGGCTGCCCCGGTTTGGCCTGGTGCGGGCCAAGGAGGGGGTTGAGGAGGGTGACAAGGCCAAGAGCCCAAAACTCAGACTTCCCCGTGTAGGCTTCAGCCAGAGTGAGGCTGTCACTGGGGAAGGCTCCCCTAGCCCTGAGGATGAAGAAGAAGAGGAGGGTAGTGGGGAAGGGGCCTCTGGGCGCCGAGGTCGCCTCCGAGTTCGCTTGCCCCGTGTGGGCCTGGCTACTTCCAAGGCCTCTCGGGGGCAGGAGGGCGAAGCAGCCTCTAAGTCCCCTGGTGGGGAGAAGTCCCCCAAGTTCCGCTTCCCCAGGGTGTCCCTAAGCCCCAAGGCCCGGAGTGGGAGTAGAGACCGGGAAGAGGGTGGATTCCGGGTCCGGCTGCCCAGTGTGGGGTTTTCAGAGACAGGGCCTCCAGGCCCCACCAGGATGGAGGGGGCTCAGGCTGCTGTCATCTGAAGCCCCTGGGCAGACTCCACCTCCTGTCTTCCCATCCTGCCCCCTTGTTCTGTGTGTGAGATAACCAGCACTAACCCTCAGAGGGCCGGGAGGTGGGTGACTGATGGGGCAGAGCAGGGGAGGCCTCGTGCCTGTATCTTGCCAAGACATGTAAATAAATAATCCAGAGGTTGCCTTGTGTTTGGTCTCCTCTGTGTATGGCGGGGACAAGGGAGAGTGGGGAGACTGCAGAGAAAGGAGCTCCCAAGAAGGAAGGAGGGAGGACTTAAGCCTGGCCTGAGGGGAGCCTGTGGCTGGGAGACAGAGGCTACCCATGGTCTGAGGAGAGTCAAAGAGGCCTTGGGATGGGCCCAGTGGAAGGAGGGCCTGCCCTGGCCCTTCAGAAATCCCAGGGTCCTCTGCGCAGGACTCTGGGAAGTTCCCCCGTGGAGCACAGCTTTGGGACCATGCTGCTGTGGACTCCACCTGTCCTGGGGGAATCCTCTCTGGCCAGGACAGCCCCAGGGGCCCTAACAGAGCAGAAGGATTGCTACCCACCTGCCCTCTGCTGGCCACTTCTCAACCAACAAGAGCACCTCCCCATCCTGGCTGTCCTTTTCCTGTCTGGCTGGTTTGATTGTTCTGTCCACCTGGCCCCACCCGAGAAGGTCCCTCCTGGTCCCTCTCCAGGCTTGTGGGTTCAGAGCTCACCCCAGACACCTGGCTGCCTCTTAGGACTAGGTCCCAGGATGCTCAGCCTCCATTGGGGCTGGGCCTCAGTTCCTAGGGACCCAACCCCCCTAAGCCCCTAAGCCCCCACCAGGGCCTCCAGACTCCCCCACATCTCTCTGCCATGCCCCAGGAGACATGCCGTCCAGTCCCAAATCTCCCCCTGACGTCCCCATATCCACTCTTCACATCTCCACCCTCCCATTCTAGAGGATGAAGGTCGTGCCCATGAGCTGTCATAGACCACCCACTTACACTCTAGCACCTTCTCCCTTCAAGCTGGCCTCCCCTTGAGTCACTCCCCTTGTTTCTCTTTTTTCTCACTGAACATGGCAAGAATGATCTGCCCTCATGGTGCATACCCCTTGACCAGCCCCCTAACATTTGGGATTTTCCTCTCACCATGGCTGACTTGTCAGTATCCTCAGTGACCTCTCTGTGGTCATGTCAGTGGCTTCCTCTGTCTCTCTTGTCATGATTTCTCAGGGCCTCTCCCTCTTTCCTGAACACTTTCTTCTCCCTCTTTTCCACGCTTCTCTCTCCTCATGTCCCTTGAACACTCAGGGCTTTTCCCAGGCTGTCATGCACCCTCACACCTACTCTGGACCTGTCCCAGAGGCTTTCATTCCTCACCTCTGTGTAATAATTCTCAAATTCTCTCCTGGGTCCTAGAAGGGTGTGTGGGGTGGTGGTTCAGACCTTGGCTCTAGAGCCAGACTCTGGCACCCAGCTGGATGACCTTAGGCATTTTTAAACCTTTTTTGTGCCTTGATTTTCTCTTCCATTAAATGGAGCTATTAAGATGTCTGTGGTAAGGATCAGATAAGGCTTATAAAGCACTCAATACCTACTTAAACATTTCAGTATTAAATTTCCTAATCTGACCTCAGCATCCTCTTCCCCAAAGTGCTCCTGTCCATGCCCCTATCTCAGAGACCATTCCACCATTACCAAGGCCAGAGTCCTGGACCTTGTCCTGGATGGCTTACTCTCTTCCCTATAGCTTGCAGTCCCATAGCCTGGCCTTCTGGCCTTGGGAGTGTCTCATCCCCCAGCCTTCTCCCACACTCCTCAACTCTCCTATTCTTGCTCCCTCCAACCCACTCTTCACACAGTAGCTTTCCGACATTCATATCGGACCTTTCCCTCCCTTGCTCAAAGGCCGCCTGTGGCTCCCCAGTGCCCCGAGAACAAAGTCCAGACTCTTTAGCCTGGCATTCAAGACCTTTTACAACCTGGCTCTGCCTCAGCCACACCTACCCCATGTCAGCCACAGGCTGGGGCAGATGTTTTCTGAAATACACACACACACACACACACCCCTAGTTCCGAAAGCCTGCTTTTCCTCACCTCTGTTTAGGAATGTCCCATTCCTCTGCCTGAGGTTCACCATCAGACTCTCAGTTGACCTTTCACCTGTCCAGCCTCTTCAGTGTTCCACCACTGGGTGGGGGAGGGGGCTCAACCTGCCACCCCACCCCCATTCCAGCCAGGGGCTCAGGTCTCCAACAACAGAACCAGAGCCACTCAGCAACGCTGGAACCCATTTGAGGTGGTGTGGGGCCCCTCATCCCAAGCCAGGAGGGCTTCGGGGGAGGGGTGCAGCCCCTGGCAGACTCGCAGTGTGGCCCAGGAGGCTGGAGGGTGCTAGAGAGGCGGGTGCTAACCTCGAAGGGGGAGGCACGAGTGCAGTTCTCTTTCCCCCACTGGGGGGACCCCAGGGCCGGTGGCGAAGGGGGCCTGGGAGGCCTCGGAGGCAGAGGCTGTGGGGAGTGGGTGGTGGCAGGGCGGTGTCTGGCAGCAGGGGCACCATGGCCACCATCCAGTCCGAGACTGATTGTTATGACATCATCGAGGTGCTGGGCAAGGGCACCTTCGGGGAGGTGGCCAAGGGCTGGCGGCGAAGCACAGGCGAGATGGTGGCCATCAAGATCCTCAAGAACGATGCCTATCGAAACCGTATCATCAAGAACGAGCTGAAGCTGCTGCGCTGTATGAGGGGCCTGGACCCCGAGGAGGCCCACGTCATCCGCTTCCTCGAGTTCTTCCATGACACCCTCAAGTTCTACCTGGTTTTCGAGCTGTTGGAGCAAAACCTTTTTGAATTCCAGAAGGAGAACAACTTCGTGCCCCTCCCTGCCCGTCACATCCGCACGGTCACCCTGCAGGTGCTCAGAGCCCTGGCCCGGCTCAAGGAGCTGGCCATCATCCATGCCGATCTCAAGCCCGAAAACATCATGCTGGTGGACCAGACCCGCTGCCCCTTCAGGGTCAAGGTGAGGGGCTGCCCAGGGGCCGCAGCGTCCCTTTTTCCTGTCTCCTCATGGCCTCCCTCAGTCCTGTGGGCTTTCCAGACACTGAGGTCTCCCTTGTCCCACCTCACAGCCTTGAGGTCCCCCCTCCCTGTCCACCTCCTGGCCCTGAAATCCTCCCCAACTCCCTGTCCCGATTCTGACACCCTTTCCATCCTAGCCCTAAGGTCTCCTTGTTTTTGTTCAATTCTTAGCTCAGCTCCTCTGGCCCAGCCCTGTCCTGTGGGGTTGACATTCTATTGGGGAGATAGTGTCGCCAAGATAAATGAGTATAATATGGTATGTGAGTGAGGAGAAAATATGAAGTAGGGAAGAGGAAGATGTGGGGTATTGATGTGGGGATGGGGGTGGTGATGAGTAAAACTTTACATAGTGTCAGGGAGGCCTCACTGAGGTGGCATTTGAGGGACATCCTGAAGGAGGGAGGGAGCCATGTAGACATCTGGGGCAGGGAATCTGGGTAGAAGGAATAGCCAGTGCAAAGGCCCTGAGGTAGGAGTGAGCCGTGTGTGTGTGTGTGTGTGTGTGTGTGTGTGTGTGTATTTGAGAAGTACTGAGGAGGCCAGTGTGACTGAGTGACTGAGGTGAAGAGGAAGGAAAAGGGAGCAGGGAGATGAAGGGGCAGGGTTGTACAGGGCCTTGTGGGCCGCAGTGAGGACTTAGGTCTTATTCTGTGTAAGATGGAGCCACCGGAAGACCCTGAGCAGAGGAGGACATGATCTGACTCAGGTGTTCACAGGTCCCCCCTGGCTGTGAGGGAAACAGACTGAGGTGGCAGGAGCAGGAAGACAGTGAGAGGTGACTGCACCAGTTCAGGTGGGAGATGTGGGTTGGTGGGACTGGAGTTGGTGTAGTGGGAGGAGGAATGTGGGTGGGTCTGAGTAGATTTTAGAGCTGGAGACAACAGGATTTGCTGACAGATCTTACATGAAGTGTAAGAGAGAACTTGAGTGGGGACAAAAGCCTGCTGGCCCAACCGGCTGGAAGGATGGCAGCACCATTCCTCATCTCAGTAAGTTTGTCAACAGACACTTGCTGAATGGTTGCTCTGGGCCTGACCCTGTGCTGGGTGCACAGAGGCACCTCCTCTGCGCTGTCACAAGCCCCTGGGCTCCTCCGCCCCTCCCCTGACCCCTCTGTCTGCTTCTGCGTTTGTTACTACTGTCTGGTGATGGATCTGAACTAGGAGCACCAAGAGGGCAGGGCCAGGGCAGTTTTGGTCACCACTGTGTCCTTGGCATCTCCCAGCACAGCACTGTCATGGAGTCTGTGCTAAATGTCAGACGCAGAGTGATACAGAGACTGGAAGAGGCAGAGCATTCTGCTCTGAGAAAGAAAAGGACAGGGACCCAGAGAAGGAGAGACTCCCACAAATACAGCAGAAGACCGACAGGACAGATCCATAACACCTGGCCAGCGTTGGCACCCCTACTGTGTTTGTGGAATGAATGAATGAATGAATGGATGGATGAATGAATCCCACGAACACTGAGTGCCCAGGGTAACTCAAGCTCTCTGAGATTCAGGCCTTGGTATTCTGCTTTCAAATTAATGACCATTTTGTCCTACCGCCTTCCTCAAATAGAAGGTGAGGGGTGGCTGAATGAAAAGCAGAGGGACTCGTGCGAGCTCTGAGCAACAGGGTCTCCGGTTCGATTCCCACATAGGCCCGAGCTGAGCTGCCGCTGAGCTGCCAACAGGTGGCAGGATAGCTCAGCTAAAACAAACAAACAAACAGACAGACAAACAAACAAACAAACAAACAAGAAAAGCAGAGGGACTCGGAGAGGGAAACTGAGGTAGGGACTAAGATAGAGTCTTGGAGATTCAGAGTAAAAATGGCAGATAGCTCCTCCCAGAGGCATCGGAGAGACAAGGACTTTTAGCCATTCACAGCGTTAGTTCAACAGGTGTTCGTCAAGCTCCTGCCATGTACAAGGGCCTGTGGGTGTTAACAGTGCTTGATGATGAGGAGAACCTGGGCGTCAGGAGGTGTTTTTCTAGTGGGCAACACAGAGATGGAGATGGAGATTGATGCTGAGAGATGAGAGACACAGACAAGTCATGAAGAGGCAAAGAAAGAACGAGAGGGAGAAAGAAAATTATGGATAAAAAGCTTATTCATTCATTCATTCATTCATTCATTCATTCATTCATTCATTCTTTACTGCTCTGTGCCAAGCACTATTCTAGGCATCTAGGGACACAACAGTGAACAGACAAAATCCTGCCCTCATGGGACTGACATCCTAGTTGGTTAGAGAAATAATGAACTCGATAAAAAGGTAAAAGATATAATTTGTGAAATGGTGTTAAGAGCTGTGGAGAAAAGCAGAGGACCAGGAAGGGGGATAGGAAGAGTAGGGGGTGCTGTTTTTGATGAGATGACCGGGGGGAGGCCTCACTGAGAAGGTGACATGAGTCAAGATCTGGGGAGGTGAGAGGGGGAGCCATGTGGACATCTGACGGAAGAGCATTCCAGGCAGAGCGAACAGCCAGTGAAAAGGCCCTGAGCTGGGCATGTGTCTGGCTTGTTTACGGAATAGTGAGAGAACCATGTGGCTGGGGGTGAATGAGCGGGGAAAGTGGGAGGAGCTGAGGGCTGAGAGGGGAAGGGGCAGATTGTAGGAGCCTTGGGGCTGCAATGAGGGCTTTGGCTTTTATCATAGGATGTGTAATCATAGGATGTGGTATAAAGCCACAGGAGGAGAGGGACATGACCTGACTCAGGTGTTCACAGGATCCCTCAGGGTGCATGTGAGGAGCAGACTGGAGGAGCGGGGAGAGCAGTCTAGGCAGGAGATGACGGACGGAGGACAGGACCAGGGTGAGGGCTGTGGCTGAGATGCCCAGTGCGCAGATTCTTGATCTGTTCAGAAGGTGGCGCCAACAAGGTTTGCTGATGGACAAGGTGTAGGGTGAGAAATAAAGAGAGGGGTGCTAACCCTCACAGGCATCCTCTAGTGGAGACAAAGAGAGACAGAGACACAGGCATATAAACCAGAGACAAAGGCTGGAGGAGACAGATTGGGACATAAACAAGAGATAAAGATTCATAGTCACAGCGACCAACAGTCCGATGGCAGATGAAGACAGACACTGGGGAGAGACGCCAGGGAAGGCCCAGAGTGAATGTCCCTGCCCTCACCTTGCCCACTGGCTTCTCTACCCCCACACAGGTGATCGACTTTGGCTCAGCCAGCATTTTCAGTGAGGTGCGCTACGTGAAGGAGCCGTACATCCAGTCGCGCTTCTACCGGGCCCCCGAGATTCTGCTGGGGCTGCCCTTCTGTGAGAAAGTGGATGTGTGGTCCCTGGGCTGCATCATGGCCGAGCTACACCTGGGCTGGCCGCTCTACCCGGGCAACAACGAGTACGACCAGGTGCGCTACATCTGTGAGACCCAGGGCCTGCCCAAGCCCCACCTGCTGCACGCCGCCCGCAAGGCCCACCACTTTTTCAAGCGCAACCCTCACCATGATACCAGCAACCCCTGGCAGCTCAAGTCCTCAGCCGACTACTTGGCTGAGACCAAGGTAGCGGGGTGGGGGTGGGGGGGTGAGGGCAGTCAGTGTGGGGGCTGTCACATCAAGAAAAAATCCGGGGAGGACTGGAAGCTTGAGGACAGCTGTGGGGATTGTCACAGCAAGAGAGATCTCTGGGTGAGAGGAAAGGTGGGACTAGAAGTTTGAGGGTCACTCTGGGGGCTGCTGAAGCAAGACAGATCTAGGTGAGACTGCAGGGAGGACTGCAAGTTTGGGGGTCAGATATAGGGGCAGCTGTAGCAAGAGGGGTCTGGGTTATACCACAAGTTTGACACAAAGGATAGAGCAGCTCCTCTGCCAGCTTCAGATCTAGGGTCATCAAACTCGTGCAGTGTGAGGGACCTGAGAGAGGCCCCAGGTGGGACTGGAAGTTTAAGTCAGCCTGTCTGCTACTTCTGTGGCTGCAGCCATCACACGTGTGCATCAAGAGTCTGGGTGAGATAGCAGCGAAGACTGGTAGTTTGGGCCAGCCTTGGGAGCTGTCACAGCAAGAGGGGTCTGGGTGAGACCAAAGGTGGGACTAAAAGTATATGGCAGCTCCTCTGATAATTCCTTGCCTGGGGGTTGTCAAACTAGTGTGGCCAGAAAGTTCGACCATTGGGAGGCCCAGAAGGCTAGGATTGGTTATGAGGGCTGTAGCAGCAAGAGGGATCTGGGTTTGATTCCAAGGAGGACTAGAGGTTTAGGGCACTCTCTCTACTAGTGGCTGGTAGCAGCTGGATCCACAGCTCTGGGCACTGGTGGTTCTGGGGTGAGGTGTGAAACTTGAGTGAGTGAGAGCTCTGAGTTAGATGACAGGACCAAAGAACACGGTCAGGTGTCCTTCCTGCAGCAGGAGGACGGCTCTGGATTTGACTAGAGGGGGTTTGGTGTTAGGGAGCAGGTGTGGCCCTCCCAGCAGCAAGAGGGCTCCAAGTTAGATCATAGGCAGAACTGGAAGTCGGGGTTCAGGTGCATAAACTTCAAAGTAACAAGAGAGCTCTGGGCCAGATTGGAGGGCAGACTGGAAGCTGTGGGGAGCTCATACGTGAGCCCCACTGCAGGAGTGCCTGGGGCCCAGGGCCTGGACTCCCTGTCAACCCTTGCTTGCTGTGTCCCACTAGGTGCACCCACTGGAGCGTCGCAAGTATATGCTCAAGTCACTGGATCAGATTGAGACAGTGAATGGCAGCGGGGCAGCCAGTCGGCTGACCTTCTCGGACCGTGAGGTGCTGGCCGAGCACGCTGACCTCAAGAGCATGGTGGAGCTGATCAAGCGCATGCTGACCTGGGAGTCACACGAACGCATCAGTCCTAGCGCTGCCCTGCGCCACCCCTTTGTGTCCATGCAGCAGCTGCGCAGTGCCCATGAGACTACCCACTACTACCAGCTGTCACTGCGCAGCTGCCGCCTCTCACTGCAGGTGGAGGGCAAGCCCCCTGCGCCCACAGTGGCCGCTGCAGAAGACGGGTCCCCCTACTACCGTCTGGCTGAGGAGAAGGAGGCCGTGGGCTTGGGCGGTGTGGTGGGAAGCGGGCCCTTCTTCAGAGAGGAGAAGGCACCAGGCGTGCAGCGGGCCATCGACCAGCTGGATGACCTGAGTCTGCAGGAGGTGGGCTGTGGGCTGTGGGGTGAGACCTCCGATGTGCTGGCCCCACTCAAGGCAGCCACTGCTGGCCATCGGGTGACCGACTCGGGCCCCAAGCCCATCCTGGCCTTCTATGGAAGCCGCCTGGTCAGCCGCCACAAGGCCCGCAAGCCGCCCACAGGCTCCAAGTCTGACTCCAACTTCAGCAACCTCATCCGGCTGAGCCAGGCCTCACCAGAGGATGATGGGCCCTGCCGGGGCAATGGCTGGGCGGAAGGAGAGCACCTTGGGGCTTCTGCCGAGCCGACCACCATCCTGCAGCAAGACGGGGATGGGCCAGACATCAAGGCCATGACCATTGATGCTGAGGTAAGCCAGGTGGGCGGGCAGGGTGCAGGTGGCGCTAGGGTTAGGGCCTCCCCCAGAGCACCAGGGTGGGGGTACAGTGAACCTGGCCTTGGGTCCCACACATCTGCATTGCCTGCAGCTGACTTTGAGTCCAACTCACATTAGCCGACTCTCAGGATGTGACGAGGCTCCACACACACCCATGTTTAGGATGTAATTAGGATGCGACAAGGTTTTGCACATACTAATCTGCCATAAGGCTGTGTAAAAACTCAGAACACAGTAATCTACCTGTAAGAAGTGATAAAGGCCCAGTGCTAAGAACAAGGCCTCTGTTACATGCTCACTGATCCTCAAAAAGATGTGACAAAGCAGACACTAATACACCCTCAGGACACATTGTGGTCTCAGCACACACTATCAAAGCCCCCAGGATGTGATGAGGGTTGCAAAGGTACAGAATCGCCCTCTGGAAGTGACAAGGGTTCAAGTGGGACAGGAGGGCATCCACAAGGGGGGGCTGGTGGCTTCTTGGCTGATGCCCTCTTTTCCCCCACAGAGGCCAGGCCCTGAGCTCTTCGACCCTAGCAGCTGTCCTGGGGAATGGCTGAGTGAGGACTGGACCCTGGAGGGCATCAGGGGCTCACGGGCTCAGGGGCTCCCGCCCCGCCACGTTCACCCACACAGTCTGCCCCGGGCCACCAGCTTTCTGCAGCACGTCAGTGGGCACCATTGATGGTGACCCCACCCCTGCCCATCACTGGGGGCTGCGTTAGCTGGGCTGACATCCCCTCCTCAGAGCCATCTCCTGAACCCACAAATTATTCTTACAGAAAGATTGTTGTCCAGAATTCTCACTCCCCCTGCCCACGATGCATGCCTGCACCCCCCCCCAAACACAGGAGGGCTCTGGCGTCAGGCCTGTGGCCCCCTTGGCCCAAGTAAAGCAGGAAGGGGGCTGCACCCTGCTGGCCCTGAGCACATCCTCGGCCCTGTTGCCTCTGCCTATTTCAATAAAGAGCTGTTCACAGCCCTGCCTCATACCTGTCCTCCCTACCTGAAGTGAGGGCTGGCCTGGCACTGGGGTGGGGTTTGGGCTGGGTGTCTAAACCCTGTTCTCTGATGCTGCACCCGTCAGCCATTGGCTCAGGCTGGGGGCTGGGCTGCCATGGCACTGGGAGGGAGACTATGCTTGGCACATGAGAACCCACCCTCAGAACATTCTGTGTTCAGCAGGTGCCAATCCAAGCTTGCCAAATGCCAAGTTCTCAATGTCTGCTGATCTGTCCTTGCCACGTTACAGGCTTGCCATGCACTCATCCATGCTTGGGACATGCTACATGTAAATTCACTTGGCAGGTGTAAATTCCCACTTGGTGCATGCACCAGTGTTTAGACACGTGAGTCCACGCTTGAGATATGGCAATGGTTCACTGTGTGCTCATCCGGCTGGGAACATGCTGAGTGTGCGGCACATGGTACCCCATGCTGGCTATATGAGGCTCAGCCCATGCCAGCCACGCAGTTGCACACTGCATGCTCAGCACGTGCCAGTTCATGTGCACTGCACGCTGAGGACTCAGTACATGCCAGGCTGTGCCCATCACATGCTGAGGGCTCAGCACATGCTAAATCACTGGGCCACATGCTGCATGCTCAACAGAGGCAGGTCACTCACTGAGGGTTCAGCACATGCCAGTTATATACTATATGCTCAGTACAAGGCAAGCACATACTAAGGCCTCAGTGCACACTCTCATGTGCCCACCAGAGACCCATGCCGGCTGTCCCCTACCCCGACACCCCACCTCATACCACTCAATCAGGCACAGGCTGTACAGACAAGTTATTTACTTCTTATTATAACCTTGGGCCCTCTTTGCCCTGGGAAGGGGGGTGGGCCACGGGGCCCAGCATGCACCCCCACTTCTTTGGGGGGCTGATCCCTCCCCCAGCTTGGCTGGATCCTGGGGCCTCAGCGTCAGGCCAGTGGGGGCGGAGGTAGAGGTGGGAGAGCAAGGGGGCCTGTGGAGCCACAACGGGACAGACAGAAGCAGGGGCACGGGGACAGGGACCGGAACCCAGGACACCTGGGTCCGTGGGGGCCTTGCAGGCCGAGGCCTGTCCTCTGGGCAAGGCCTCAGAGCAGGCGACAGGCATTGCCCACACTGTCAGCTGCTGTGTTGAGGTCATGGCTATAAGGGGAGTCCCAGTCCCTCAGGAAAACAGCCTCCAGCTGACTCCGCAGGCCACCATGCCCGTTCTGTGTCACCAGCAGCGAGGTGCCCGCTGTCTCCGTGAAGTAGCTGCCAGACCAGTTGGACGTTCCTATGGGGCGGGGAGCAGAGTCAGGGCCCATGGTGGTCTCTGGGCCTCCCTTCTGTTCCCCAGGTGGTGATTGGACACTCACCGATGTAGGTGGCACGTTCGGTCACCATGTACTTGTTGTGGTTAACGCGGGCATATGGGATTCGGGCCTGGGCCTCGTCCGCAGGGACCACAAAGAGTTTCTGAGGGAAGAGAAGAACGGGAAGTAGCGGGAGATGCAGGGGGTGGTTAGAGAAGCCCCAGGGTCTGTAGTGGGGAGTGGAGCCAGGTCTGCAGGACTGGGGACGCCACTGCTTCCCAGGGAACCTTCGGGACCAGAACAGGGCCCGGCAGGGTGGGGATCAGTCAACACTAGCCGGAGACAATAACCTAGTCACCTCATTTGCCACCTGTTCCCTCTAGAATGGCACCTATTCGTCCCTTAGGTCTCACCTGAGATGTCCCCTTCCCCCAGAAAGTCTTCTGTGACCCCTCAGGCTGGGGTAGGTGCTTCCTTTGGACCCTCCTTCCCTGGCCCTGACCCCTCTGCCCATGTCCCCTCATCCAAGCCCTGAGCCCTCTACTCATGGCCCTCCAATCTAGGCCCTGACCCATGGTCTCCCCATCACAGCAAGGCTCTCTTTGGGTTATCCCTGTCAGATGACAGGTGAGCTCCACGAGCACTGTGTCTCCAGTATTACCCGGCACAGGGGCTGAGGGCTGGGTCTGGGGCAGGTACTTACCACCTGGATGTCAGAGTGGGTGTGGTTGTCACGCAGGGCAGCCAGGGAGAGCAGGAAGGCCCGCATGGATGGCTCAGAGTGTCCCCAGCAGCTGATCAGCAGACGCACCTTGATGCCCCGCTCATAGGCTGCCCGCCGCAGCCCATCGTCGATGGCAGGCCAGAACCTTGGGGAGGGGGTGCAGGATACGGAGCACAGTTCTATCCACAGGCCTCACCCTCAACGTTAGGGAGCCAGGCCTGGGCCCTACTTCAGCTTCTGAGAGCCTTTAAACCCTAAGACCACCCCATCTCTGGCTCCAAGTCCTGGTCCTTAAATCCCATATCCCCTGTTCCCTGATTCTGGCTCCCATTCCTGCTCCCCAAACCCAGTTTTCCCATCATCTTGTCTGCTGCCTCCAAGACTACCTTCTCTGAGCCCCGCAAGCCCATCCATCTTCCCTCCTTATCCCTGATCACAAACCACAAGCCTACTGCGCCAAATTTGAAAACTCTTAGCTCCCAAACCCCAAGCCTTCATCCTGTCTCCAGCCCTTGCTCCCTAATTCCTTCCTCTGGAAATCCCGCAGCCCCTGCCTCCAGCCTCCAGTTCCCCATCTCTACCCCCAACCCCAATATTCTCGTCCTTTTCTCTCCCCTTTTCCCGTCTTGAGCACCCAGACCCCGTCTCCCTGTCACCTGTCTCCTCTGCCTCTCCCTCCCCCTGGCTTCCCCTCCATCTGTCCCCTTGGCTTGGCACCCCCTGCCTGCTTTCTGGGCCCCATCACTCCCTCTCCCAATCCTTTTCCACTCTTGGTGGCTCCCTGCTCTGAGCCCCAGCAATACCTGCGTGGGTGGGAGAACTCCATGGTGGGCAGGTAGTTCATGACTGCGATGTAGATAAAACTCCGGGCATTGTCCACCACGTTGAGCAGGGCCTTCAAGTCTGGGGTGCGGCTACTTGGACACAGTGGTGGGGGCGCACTCTGGGGGCAAGGGGACAGTCAAGACATGTGCCCTGCCAGAGGTACCATCACAGTGGACCCCATGTACAGACAGCTTGTCACTAGCCAGGTCCTGTGGGTCTCACTGAATCCTCAGCCTCAAAGGGGAGGAATGATTGCCACTCTCCGATCACAGGTAAGGCAACGGAGGCTCAGAGTGGGTGACTTGCCTAAGGTCACAGAGCCGATAAATGGAGTCGTGATTTGAACCTAGGCTGTCTGGGTCCAGAATTTATTCTTGAGGTAAGGTCCCTGGTATAGCACTAACAGCATCAACTGGGAACTTGTTAAAATTGCATATTCTTGGGGCCTCGTTGCACAAGGCATACTGAATCAGGGTACTGAGGTAGGGCCCAGGAATCTGGGTTTTAACAGCCCTCCCAGTGATTCTGATGCATGCCCAGGTTTCAGGACCTCTGCTCTAATCGCTCCCATCCCTGACTTGCTCACAGCCCACCCTGATGGCACGCTTCATATGCTCATGCCACACCAGACCCTTTACCCAGCTACCTCCATGCTCACGACAGGTGAGCAAACAAACTCAAGCTCTGAGAGGGGAGATGGTAATGAGGGAAACTTCAGTCCCCTGTGGGAGACCACTGGAGCAGCACAGGACCCCAGTGAGTCATGCATCTGTGCATTTGTGTGGACCTCCACAATGACTCTGGGCTTGGCCAGGTGACTTGCTCTAGGGCAACTGAATGAGATGAGGTTGGCCATCCCAACTAGTGAAAATATCAACAGCTAAACACGGCAGTTCCTTGTCTAGAGTGCTCCGTATGCCACAGGCGACAGCCAGCGTTATCCAATAGAATTTTCTGCAGTGATGGAAATGTTTCTATATCTGCACTGTCCAATATGGCAGTCACTTGCTACATGTGGCTGCTGAGGACTTGAAATGTGGCTAGTGTGACTAAGGAACGGAATTTTTAACCAGATTTAGGGCTAACAGGGGGGTATGGCTGGGTCCATGCAAGCCCTAAGAGGTTGTAAATATTGATACCCATTTTCTGGATGAAACCGAGGCCTGTGGAGGTTGGGACATAGTCCAGGCCCCTGCCCAAGCAGAGTGAGCAGGAGTAAGGGCTAGTGGTCAGGAACCCCCTCCCCACCAACCACTGGGCAGGACTAGATAGATGGGAGGTCATGAGGGTGTGTGGCCAAGGCATGACAGGCCCCTCTTCCTTTAGACTCACTGCCAGGTAGGCCAGAGCAGGGGTTCCGTTGAGGCAGATCTCCATTGGTGTCTTTGGATTGTAGTGGGTGTCATAGGGCCGGGGCCAGGGTGACGGGATGGAGCTGCCCGCCTGGCCCAGGTACCAGTAGGCCTCAAAGATCTTGGTCAGGTCTCGAGCTAAGCAGCTGCAGTTGTACATGACCACGCCCAGCTCCTTGACCTGTGGGAGGGCAGTGCTGAGCCCGGGGTAGTAGCCTGGTGCCCACGGTTGACAAGGATACCTGCAGTCACCTCTTCCTGCCCCCACAGTCCCCTTTCCTTCCCTTCTCTCTATCCCTGTTTCCCCTCTTTCTGCCCCTCAGCTCCACCCTCAGGCCCCGACAGCTCAAGTCCTGGGATGGGCATGAACTTGACTCAAGACGAATATCTTAAGTCAAGTTTTGGTGGAAATCATCCAGTCATTCCAAAGCTCCGGGTCTCCTGAACCTTTGCATATGCTTCTACCCTCCAAGTGAGCTCCTACTCATTGTCAGGTCTCGGTTGAC